CCCTGGTTGTGCTCCTGCAGCCCTGACTGTGCTCCTGGATCCCTGGTTGTGCTCCTGGAGCCCTGGTTGTGCTCCTGGATCCCTGGTTGTGCTCCTGCAGCCCTGGCAAGGGCAGGGAGAAAACAGCAGCAGATCTTGGGGACTCCTCCCAGTGATCTGTGCCTGGAAGTGCTGTGGATCCTGGAGCAGAGACAGAACATGTTGGAGTCACAGAGCATTCTGAAATGTTCTTGTGCCTCCACATCTCTGGTTCTAATTACTCCAGGACATGTTTTCTGGGATGTGTAAAGAATTACTGAGCTCCAGTCTGGCTCTGCTGGTTTGTTGGTTTGTTTTGGTTTTTTTTAACTTTTAATTGCTGCACAGACTTCCAGCAGTGGTCTGTGTGTCTCAAAAAGAGCTCCTGCAGCTTGGTAGCAGAAGGGACAGTCGTCCCAGGAAAAGGTGGATGCCCAGGTTGTGCTGGGGACACCCAGCAGCCAAGATGCTCCATAGGTAGGGACTGGTTTCCTAAGGAAAAGAAATCCCTCTCAGCTCTGTTGTGTCTTTAAATGACCTTGATCTCCTCTGTGTGTGTGTGTGTCTGACCTTGCTGGTCGCTGTTCCCTGAGCTGATCCAACGGGAACAGGCTCAGCCAGGGTTCCCTTTCTCTGCACCCGGGCCAGGAGGCAGCTGCTTTCCATTCCTGTGCTAAGCCCTGCTGGATGAGCTCCTGGGAACTGGGGGAGGAGGAAGGGAAAGCAGCCCCTGGGCAGCTCCTATTCCTGGAGCTGCACCACTGCACCTCCCCCGGGGTGCAGGGCTGGCCTCCCTCGATCCTGTCTGGACGCTGGGATGGTTTTGAACCATCCCTGCCTTTTCCCCGAGGTGACAATGACAGCGGGGCTGCAGCAAAGGGGACTCGAAAACCTCCCTGGTGTTAAGTTAAAAAAAAAAGGGCTGGGAATCCGCCCTCCCAAACTTTGTTCCCGAGGTGGTTTTGCAGTTTGAGCGTGCCCAGATCCAAATCCCAAATGTCCTGAGCTGGAAGGGACCCACAAGGATCATCAAATCCAGGTGCTGGCCCTGCACAGGAGTGGGGTGGGGACTGTCCAAGCCCACTCTGCACCCGTGTCTGTAGGTTCTGGCTCCGAGGAAGGGGTAGAATTTTGGGGAGGAAGGCGGAGGGAAGGAGCTGAGGTTTGGCTCTCATTAGCCCACACTTCCCCAAACAGCCCTGACACACAGTCAGCAGCTCTTCAAGCTGCTGAGGGGAGATAAAAGGAAACAACGACAGACAGCCCTGGAGCAGGGGGAGGAGGAGGAGGAGGAGGAGTTGGGTTCTCAGGCCCTCTCTGTGCTCCAGTTCTGCCTCTGGGAGCTCTGTCTGTCCCAAACACGTGTGTCCCCCCCCCCCCCCCCCGGCCACCCCCCCCCTCGGGCTGCCCTGGACGGTGCGGGGGGGGGTTGGTTCTCCCAGGGATTGCCGGATTTTCCACAGGGACAGGCGGGCTCAGCTGACTCAGCGTGGCCCCGGGACAGCTGCCAGGGCTGGGCCACGTTTGTGCTCCCAGAGCCCTCTCAGAGCCCTCCCAGTGCCCTCCCAGTGCCCTCCCAGTGCCCTCCCAGAGCCCTCCCAGAGCCCTCCCAGTGCCTGCAGGAGCTGCCCCGGGAACACCCACCCCGGACAGCTGGACCTTTGGGGAGGTTGTGCTGGGGGATGTGAATCTCCCACCACAGCAGCTGGGAGATCCCAGGATTGCTGAGGTTGGAAAAGACCTCCCAAATCATCGAGTCCACCCTCTACCCCATCCCCACCTTGTCCCCCAGCCCAGAGCACTGAGTGCCACCTCCAGTCCTTCCTTGGGCACCTCCAGGGGTGGGGACTCCAAACCTCCCTGGGCAGCCCCTTCCAGTGCCTGAGCACCCTTTCCATGGAGAAATCCCTCCTGGATTCAGCCTGGGTCCAGCCTGACCCTCCCCTGGCACAGCTTGAGGCCATTTCCCCTTGTCCTGTTGTTCCCTGGGTGCAGAGCCTGAGCCCCCCTTGGCTCCCCTCTCCTGTCAGGGAGTTGTGGGGAGCACCAGGGATAAGAAAGACCCTCCCCTCCCATGCCTGGAAATGGGGCTCATCAGAAGACAACCTCATTTTTGGGTTTTGCTCCTCCTGGCTGCAGGTTCAGCCCAGCCCCAGTGCAGAAAGTCCCCAGGTGCCTGCACTCTGCACCCCCAAAACCCTTCCTCTGTCCCCGGGGCTGAGAACTGCTCTGATCCCCCCAAAAACGAGGGATTCTGCTGCTGTGGCTCTTTGGGATGGACTGCAGGGATTTTTTGGGTTTTCAGATGGGGGGGCACCGCAGGCTGCCAGAGGGTTTGAGGTGATTTTCCTCTGCATCCAAGAGCAGAGAGGCTCCTTCCCCTGACAGGGAAATGAATGTCCCTGCAAAGAGAAGCTGCAGAGAGTGAGAGGAGGTGCAGGCTGGGGAACAGCACGTGGACTTCCCAGAGATGCCCTTGACTGAACCCCATCCAGGAGCACCAAGGCAGACACAGCTAATGAGGACCAAGTTCAGCCTCCCCAGCACGTTCCAGCTGCTGCCTCGAGTAGTAAAAGACTTTCTCCCGATTTCTATTCACTATTTGTGCCACTTGGAGTGCTTTGAACTCGGCCTCACCCACCAAATCTCCCTCAAAACTCGTGCCTGGGTTTGAGTCCTGCTCCGTCGTCGCTCGGGAACCGAAAATAGGGCAGAAATTTGGATATAAATTCGGGGAGTGATGGCTCTAAAAGCTTCCCCCCTGCACAGCAAAACACCAGGTTTCTTCTCCCTGGTCCTGCAGCAGAGGGTGGGGGCAGGTGAGCAGGGTGTGTGGGGTAATTCAGTGAACTCGGGCAGGTCACAGGCAGAGGAGAGAATTACTGAGGACAAACAAACAAATACGTGGATCTCAGTGGGAAAACCCTCCAGACTGCACGGAAAAGCAGAGAACAGGGACAAAGCCTGAGTCCAAGTGCAGTCAGAAGGAGACTCTCACACCTGGAGCAGGAGCTGTTGAGCAAAGGCATTCCATTCTCCCAGATTTCCTCACGGGAGAGCTGCTCCATCCCTCTGATCACCTCGGGGCCTCCTCTGGGCTCGTCCCAACAGCTCCGTGTCCTTGCTGTGCTGGATGGAGTCCCCCAGGTGGGGTGTCACCTGTCACCCAGGTGGGGTGTCACCTGTCACCTGAGCAGGGCAGAGGGGCAGTGTCCCCCCCCTTCCCCTGGGAGGGAGGTGGCCCAGCCCTTGCCACCACTCGGTCTCTGCAGTGGCACCAGGTTATTTTGGAAGATGCCCGTGCAGGGAGCAGGAGGGCACCCAAGGACAGTGGGGACATCCAGTGACATCCCTGCTCAGACTGCAGTGGTTCTGGGCTCGGCCCTTGCCAGGCTCTGGCACCTCCCATGCCCCCTGTTCCCCCCTCTGGGCAAAACGTGGTGCCGGTGCAGGGACTCAATCGGTGCCATCTGTCCCTCCTTGGCACAGGGGGTCTTTCTCCCGGCTCCTGGCCGTGTCCCAGCCTGGCCAGGTCCCTCCCCCAGCCCCGGTGCCTCTGCCCTGCCCATCTCTGCTCTGCTGAGACCGTAAATTAAGAGGACAAATAACGATTTGCTCTCCTGGCAATGGTGAAATAAGCAGCTATTCATGAAGAAATCAATTTGGAGGCTGCAGAGAGGGGAAATAATATAAGAATAGAGGTGGAAATGAGAGCAGTGTGCAGTTTTACATCCTCTCCTAAACGACCACTGAGTCAGACACCGGGAGCAAATGGGAAGCGACTGATCCATACCCTGTATCCGTGTGTCCTCCCCAAAACCCCTCTGGGACCTTCCTCCAGCTTCCCTGCAAGGAGAGACCCCAGGAGGAGGGTTTTTGCTCGGGCAGCATCCCGGAGCCGGGTGCTTTGCCGGTGTGTGGGAATGAGGGAATTGGTTAAACCATCCCCTCTTTTCCTTTTCAACTGCTTGGCTTCGCTGCCGCTGGAGTGTTAAGGGATATCCACCCGGGACGAGGCATTTTTAAGCTCTCAGGGGGGCCGTGGGATATTGAATTTTGCCCTTCCCTCCCCTGTGCTGGCAGGGATGAGACCTGGATCCCTTCCAGTTGCCACCAGGCACTTGCTGAGCGCTGTCTGTGCCTCGGCCAGATCTTTGTCCTTCCAGTCGTCTGCTTTTGGTTTTTCCTTAATTATCTGCGAAGGACAGCCCCGGGGGGGGGTTTGATGTGAGTGGTTTTATTTACACGTGGCCTTTTTTTCGCCGCCGGGGCCGTATTGTTGTGGGGACTCCCAGCTGGGAGCAGGAAAAGAGGAGTCAGCGTTTCGGGAGATTCCAGCGCTGCTCTTAAAACGCGGCGGGGGGGGGGGGGAGGGGAGGGAGAAGAGGGTGGTACCGGGGGAGGGACCATGACGGCTCCAATCCCGGGCACTTCCAGGGCTATTTTTAAACGCTTTGTAGCGTTTTGGAGGGCGGGCGGGATGCAGGTGGGTGCTCCTGGTGCTGACAGGTCTGGCTGTCACCTCCCGTGGTGTCCCTGTGCCGGGCATCCCTCCGTGTCCCTCTGTCCCTCTGTCCTTCCCTACCTGAGCCACTCGGCTCTGGCAAACCCTGCTGAACTGACAGAGAGGGGGGTTAGATGGGATTTTGGGAAGGAATTCCTGCCTGGGAGGATGGGGAGGGGCTGGGATGGATTTCCCAGAGAAGCTGTGGCTGCCCCATATCCCTGGAAGTGTCCAAGGCCAGGCTGGAGCAATCTGGGATAGTGGGAGGTGTCCCTGCCCGTGGCAAGGGGTGGGAATGGGATGATCTTCAAGGTCCCTTCCCACCCAAACCATTCTGGGATTCCAAAGTCATCCCATTTCCTGAACCAGCTCTGACTTCTCCGAGTTGTGCCCTGGCGTTTTCAGCTTTCCTGGGGTTTTCGGCTTTCCTGGGGTTTTCAGCTTTCCTGGCTTTCCTTCTCTCCGGGTTTTTTGTTGCTGCTGCTCTCTCCCTGCCCGGGGTTTGCTCTGCTCCACCGCTCCCCTTCTGAGGGAGCTTCTGTTCCGGAGCCTTTGCCTCAACCTCGTCAGGATTGAAGGGCAGGTTTGCAGAACAGGATCCAGCACAAAGGAATTCTTGTACGAGCTGGATACAGTTTGTATCCTTTGATGGATTAAAAAAAAAAACAAAAACAAACCCAACCAAAAAAGCTCAACAGAAAAAACGAACCAAACAAAGACTTTCACAGAATCACAAAACAGTTTGGGCTGGGAGGGCCTTAAAAATCATCTCGTTCCAACCCCCTGCCAGGGGATTCCTGGATTCTGTGGCTCTGGGTGCAGCCAGATGGGCAGGGAGCACAGGAATGGGATCTGTGAACAGCCCCTATGGATGGAGAGTGAGCACAGGGATAGGATCCAGGTCCAGCCCCTGTGGATGGGCAGGGAGCCCAGGAATGGGATCCAGGTACAGCCCTCCTGGATGGACACAGCACAGGGATAGGATCCAGGTCCAGCCCCTATGGATGGACACTGAGCACAGGAATAGCTGCCCTGCACAAGGGCTGATCTCTGAGGGGAGGGTTCCATCCTGCAGCAGCACCACGTGTGCATGACTGGAATCACTGGAGCCTTCCAGGCTCCTCCATGGCCTTCTCCCAACAGCTGGGACCTGCTGCCAAAGGGATTTACTCCAGTGGCACAGCTCACCCGACCATCTCCCATGACAGGGATAAAAACCTCCACTTGTTCAGTGCTGAGGAACCATCACAGATCCCAAACCCTGTGAATGTGGGATGGACAAAGCCCCTGGATGGTTGAACTCCGTGTCTGTGCTGGGACATCAATAACAGCTGAACTTTTCCCTTGCTAGGAAATGAATCCCTGTGGAGGCAACACCAAAAAGGAGCCTCAGACCCTCTAGGAGACACCTGAGGAGGAGCTGTTGGAGGAGAGACACAAACTAACTCCACGGGCCTGTAGTCCCTTACCCTTACTAACAAATGTCAACAACTAGGTAACTGTTGTTCTTCCCTCCCTCTGTTCTTTCCCTCACTAGCCCAGGATTTGGGATTTAAGGTGCACAAACATTATTTTTTTCCCTGATTTGTGGGTTCTGTGTGTGAAAGGATGAGGAAAATTTAGTATCTGTTAGTGGAGCCTGGAAAATCTGAATTTCTTCTGAAAGCAGACTGGGTAAAACCAGGCAGGGAGGATGTGGAGAAGGGGCTGGGTGAGACCTTCTTGCCCTCATGAGGTTGAGCTCCTTTGTTCTGCTCAGGGGTTTGTGGCTCCACAGCCCAGGCAGGGTTTGATTCAGGGTTTGGTTCAGGGTTTGGTTCAGGGTTTGTTTCAAGGTTTGGTTCAGGGTTTGGTTCAGGATTTGTTTCAAGGTTTGGTTCAGGGTTTGGTTCAGGGTTTGGTTCAGGGCTTTCCCTGCAGCAGCTGCACGTTGGGGAGGGTGAAGTGTTTCCTTTAGTTCCTTTAATCCCGGGATGTGACCCCCTGGCTGCAGGATGTGCTTCCCAAGCGTGAGTCAAGGGAGGAAGAGCTGTGCTGAGGGGAAGGGTTTTCTTTGTGCTCACGTCCCAAACACATCCTCCATCCACCCATCCATCCACCCATCCATCCATTTCCCTGGAGCTCCAGCCTGGAGATATCCTGCAGCCAGAGAAATCCTGTTCCTGGGGAAGCACCGAGGTGATGAGTGGTGGTGAAAGAAAACTTCAGGTCAGGGCTGAAAATAATATGACCTCTAATCATAACCCTGCCCCAGGGGCTGTGCTGGGAAGGACCATCAGCTGGGCCCTAAATATGAGATTGAGGGGGGGGCTATTTGTGCTTTTAACTTGCAATTTTCACATGCCCATCCCCAGGTGAATGTGGATATAAAACCCACTGATCTCAGGGCAGAGGATTGCTGGAACACCCAGGCTGTGGCTTCTGGGAGGGTCTCAGGTCTGCAGGGCAGGAGAAACTCCAGGGGAAGGTACAAATCTGTACCTGGGGGAGCTCTGTTACTGTGCCAAGGGTGTTTTCCCAGCCCAAGGTCAGTGGTGTGTCCTCACATTGCCTGGATGGGGGGGAGGAGGAGGAGGAGGAGGCAGAGACAGCCACGGGCTCTTCCTGTGCAGAGCCATCCCCCAGCTTCTAAAACTGGGCTTCAGAGGAGTGCCAAGGATGTGGAGAACACAGAGAAACTCAGAGGTCTTGGGAAAACAACTCAGAGCTTGGGTCACGACTGCTGGAGTAAGAGGGGTCACTCGATGACACCAGTGTGGGCAGTGGGGAGCTGCTGGTCACTGCCCAGAAGGTCAGGGGTGGGCTGGGTGGGAGACACTCTGTCCTTGGCACCCCAAGGACACGAGGAACGGCAGGAGCTGTGCCCAGGACATGGGGAAGAGCAGGAGCTGTGCCCAGGACATGGGGAAGAGCAGGAGCTGTGCCCAGGACATGGGGAAGAGCAGGAGCTGTGCCCAGGACATGGGGAAGGGAAAGAGCAGGAGTTCTGCCCAGGAACACGAGAAAGGGCAGGAGTTGTGCCCAGGACACAGGGAAGGGGAAGAGTAGGAGCTGTGCCTGGGACATGAGGAAGGGGAACAGCAGGAGTTGTGCCCAGGAACACAGGGAAGAGCAGGAGTTGTGCCCAGGAGATGGGGAAGGGCAGGAGCTGTGCCCAGGAACAGAGGGAAGGGGAACAGTAGGAGCTGTGCCCAGGATATGGGGAAGGGGAAGAGCAGGAGCTGTGCCCAGGAACATGGGGAAGAGCAGGAGCTGTGCCCAGGAGATGGGGAAGGGCAGGAGCTGTGCCCAGGATATGGGGAAGAGCAGAAGTTGTGCCCAGGACATGGGCAAGGGCAGGAGCTGTGCCCAGGAGCCCAGGGAAGGGGAAGAGAAGGAAACGGCTGCACTTCCCCCCTCCCTGAGCTTCCCCCTGCCCTGAGCCAGCCCTGCCCTCCTGTCTTGCAGGGAGCAGCCAATCTTCAGCACCAGGGCCCACGTTTTCCAGATCGACCCGGCCACCAAACGGAACTGGATCCCTGCCAGCAAACACGCCCTGACCGTCTCCTACTTCTACGATGCCACCCGCAACGTGTACCGGATCATCAGCGTGGGGGGCACCAAGGTGGGGGCACAGCAGCCCCACGCAGGGCTCCCCCCCCCCCAGAACCTCTCCTGCTGCCCGTGGGGTTGGGGTGGGGTTGGTGTTGGCACTTTGGCACCTTCCCATCATCAGGTGGAGGAGGAGGAGGAATCTGGAGGAGGAATCTGTGCTGGTGAAAAACGTGCCCTGGGGTCTGGTGTTGTCACACCCTGGGGTCTGTGTTGTCACCTCCTGGGGTCTGGTGTTGTCACCCCCCTCCCCATTCCAACCCCAAGTGTTTTCCAAGAGCCTTTATCCTGTGCTGAACCCGCCCCCTGCAAGTACAGAGAGAGGTTGAAGAAGCCTCGGAGGTTCAGTCACCTCCACAAAACACGAGTTACTCTCCCTAAACTGTTCCTGGTGGGCACCCTCCTGGCCTCCTTCTCGAAGCCCTGTGATGGCACAGACTCTTCCCAGGCTTTTTTGCTGCTCCCCTGCCCGGCAGAGAGGGTTTCATAACACCCAGTCCAGAGAGACAGTTTCGTAATACCCAGTCCTGAGTGGTGGTGAAGCCTTTTTTTCCTCCTCCCCCCCTTACTTGCCATGAGAATGGAGAACAGCAGAAAGCTGTTGAGGCCCCAGAGACGTGCTGTCTCTTATCATCTTTTCCAGCAATGGAGGAAGCTGCTGATACTGAGGCTTCTTTTTTTTTTTTTTCCCCTCTTTTCTCGGTAGAAAAGATGATTAAGATTCCTTCGTGTCACGGTCGCCGGGCTTAGAAAGACCTTTTGGTCACCAAAAGCCTGAACCTGAAGTGTTGTTTTGCAGATGAAAAGGCAGAGATTTCTACCCCTAATTCCCAGAGTTCACAGGGATCGTGGTGATCTCAGTGAGTGGCATGGAAAGGGGTTGGAATGGGATGATCTTTAAGGTCCCTTCCGAGCCAAACCACTCCGTGATCCCGTGATTCTGCCATCCAGCCCCACGCCACCCACCTGGAGCGTTCCCTGACTTGCCACTGCCTCTCTCCCCAGGCAATCATCAACAGCACCATCACCCCCAACATGACCTTCACCAAGACATCCCAGAAATTCGGGCAATGGGCCGACAGCCGAGCCAACACCGTGTACGGGCTGGGCTTCGCCTCGGAGCAGCACCTCTCCCAGGTAGGAGCAGCACCTCTCCCAGGTAACCCTGCAGGGGCTCTGGAACCCCTGGAAGGCTCTGGAACCCTGCAGCCTCTGGAAAAAAAAAAAAAAAAGGCTTTGGGAACCTCGGTTAAATCCCCTCCCCGCTGCGCTAAAACCTGTGGATGTGAAGATGTTAAAAAGAGCTTTAAATTAATATTTGCAGTTTGAACACCACTAATTAAATCTTCAGGCCCCGTTTCTGGCGTTGCTGTTTGGCTGAACCCACAGCCCTGAGTGCCAGAATCATGGGCAGGAAGGGGCTCTTCCCTGGATTTAACTGTTAAAGACAAACTGAGGAGCAGGTTGACTGAAGTCACCCAGGCACCAGCAGGAGTTTGGTCCCTGTTTTGACTTTTCCCTTCCCCTCCTCCAGTTTGCAGAGAAGTTCCAGGAGGTGAAGGAAGCAGCTCGTTTGGCCAGGGAGAAGTCCCAGGATAAGACAGAGCTGACCAACCCTGCCCTGAGCATCACATCTCACCAGGTAATGCTGGGAAAGAGGCAGGAGGGGAGAAAACACACCCTGTGCTGATCTCCTCCTGCTCTCATCCCCTTCTCCCCAAGAGCTCTGTGCCCACCCCCAGGCTGGGCAGTGCTTTTGGTGGCCCCTGTGACCTGGGAAGGTTCAGCCTCCTCCCTCTCGCCCAGTTAAACCATCCCAGTTAAACCATTCCAAGCCCTGCTGGAGGTGGTGGGAGGGGTTTGCTCGTGGTGGTGTTTTGGGATTTTTTGGGTTTCTGTCGGGTTCCTTTTTGTCTCAGAGCTCTCCCCGGGCTCAGTGTGACAGGGACAGGCCAGGAGCACTCAGAGTGCCTCTCCCCCGGGGCAGGAGGGGAATGTGGCTTTTCCACCTGCTTTTATTCCTCTTCCGGGGCTCAGGACATTCCTCTCCAAGTGCCTGGTGATGGTGCTGTCCCTGGGGGTCCCTGATTTCTTCCAGCTGGTGACTGAGGGGGTTGGCCAGGTTGTTTCTGTCCCATTCCCACCCTGGAAGAGAAGCTGGGAGAGCAGGAATCACCCTCCCCTCAGCAAGAGCAGCGTGTGACAGCCAGTCACTCAATTTTCCTTCCCCCAGGAGGCCAAGCCAGGGAGCTGGAGTCCATCACAGATCCCTCTCCATGTGTTCCCACTGCCAGTTGCTGCCTTTCTCTCCCCTGAGTAGCTGAACCCACTCCAGCAATGCTGGGATGGGGGGAGAAAATAAATAAAATAAAATAAAATAAAATAAGGAAAATAAAATGAAATAAAATAAATAAAATAAAATAAAATAAATAAAATAAAATAAAATAAGGAAAATAAAATGAAATAAAATAAAATAAAATAAAATTAAAATTAAAAAATAAAATAAAGAAAATAAAATATAATAAAATAAATAAAATAAAGTAAAATAAAAATAAAATAAAAAATATAATAAAGACAAGAAAATGAAATAAAATATAATAAAATAAATATAAAATAAAAAATAAAACAAAATAAAATAAAATAAAAATAAAATAAAAATAAAATAAAATAAAAAAAATTAAATTAAAATAAAATAAAAATAAAATAAAAATAAAATAAATAAAATAAAAAAAAATAAAAATAAAAAATAAAATAAAATAAAGAAAATAAAATGTGCTGCTTTTCCGCAGGGAGAAGCAGCTCAATGGGGGTGGGGAAGGTGCCCCTCCCAAGGAGGTCACTCCAGAGGTGGCTCTGCACTCCCCAGAGCTCCTGGCAGCAGGAGGGGAGCAGTGGGATGGAGGGAGGACAGGGTGTTCCCTGGGCTGGGCACAGATGGAGTGGCAGCAGCAGAGGAGGAGGAGTGTGAACAATACCTTGGCCTGCAGGGAAAGCAGGGGGAGGTGGAGGCAGTGGCTCTGCACAGACTGGAAATGTTCTGTGGGGAGCAAAGATGGGGAAAATCTGCCCAAATCTTGGCTCCTGCTCTCTCCAAGCCCCGTCCTGCGGGGTGGCAAGGGGAGAAGGGAGAAGAGTATTCACGGCAGAACCAAAGTTTTGGGATCTTTCACCCGAGACAGAGGTTCCTGGGCAGCTGCAGCCTCCACCTCCCAGAGATATTCCAGAGATATTCCCTCTTCTCCTGCTCACTGCAGGCAGAACTCCTGGGGTGCCACAGCAGGACACGTTCCCTGGGCTGTGCTGGCAGCAGGGATGGGGGAGGTCAGAGAGGGAAGGTCAGACTGGGAGCAGGGAACTGTCCCAGGGCTCTGTTCCTTCCTCTGCCCTGACTCAGCAGGGCTAAAACCGCCCCAGTGTGACCCCACACTCCCTGTTCCTGCTCCCCCTCATCCCCTCTGGGTGGGACAGCTCAGCCAGGGCCCTGCCTGCAGCCATCCCACAGCCAGGGGGGTGACAGGGACACTGGGTGACAGGGTGACAGGGTGACAGTGTCCCCTGCCCTGTGGACACACAGATCCTGCCCTGCATTCCCAGCCTTCCCCATCCCTTCTCCTGCTTTCCCGCTGCTCATTCCCACCCTCTGCATTAGCAGAGCCTCAAACATGAGCTTCATCCTTGAATAATTGATGGTGTTTCTGTTTGCAAGTGAGCAGGGAGCGGATCTGTCTCCTGGAATTAAATCAGACCTCCCTCATTTTCCACGCCTGCACCACTTTCCTCCTGCTCCACGTTTTTTTTTCCAGGGCTGGGGAATTCCCAGAATAGCAGCTTTTCTCCTGTTCTTTGGTACCTTTTAGGCCAATCCCCATCCCATTTAGCACCCCCATCACAGGGTACATTGCTGTGGGTAATGTAAGAGACACGACAGTGGGGGGGGGGAATCTCCAGCTCTCACCAGTTTTGGTTGGCACAAAACACCAGAATAAGAAACTTCTGCCCCTTCTGTGCCTCAGTTTCTGGTGTGTGCAGGAATAGGGAGCATAGGGAAGGATAGACTTTGATGCAAGGACTGTTCCTTCTCCCCCACCTTTGGAAAATGGGTGCCAGAGTCACCTGAGCAGAGTTTCTCTCCCTGGGAACCACCATCCCAGTGGTGCCTGAATTCCAAGAGCAGGAGCTGGGTTTGGCACTGAACCCAGTCAGGGGTTCAGGACTGCACTGGCAGGTCTGTGTTGGGAGTTTAAGCCTTCCCCCTGCTCTGAGAAACAGCAAGAAAAGCCTCTTAAGAATTCAGCAAAGCCCTGACAAGGGCAGTTTGAGCAGCTGAGAGCTGGGCAGGGCTGTGGGACTCGGGTGAGGGGCAGAGAATTCCAGACATCAGGGCAGGAGGAAGGAATAGCTGGGAGTCCACCTGCACTGGGATCTACTGTGTGCAAGCTCTGACCCCCCCCTGCACTGGGATCACTGCCCCAGCAGGGTGTGGAGATGGGGATGGGGTGGATGTGGCAGCTACTGGAAGAGCACAGCACCAACCAAGAGAGAGCCCTGTGCCCACAGAGCTTCCAAAATCATCACTGCTCCATGGCTGAGGCTGCTGGGCCACACCTGAGGGGCTTTACCCCCTCCTTGTGCAGACAAACACAGCTCTCCCTGAGTTAGGGCAGAGCCAGGTGTGCCCCAGCAGGGCAGGGACTGAGAGCTCGCCCTGTGGAAAGCTCTTATAAGAATAAGGGAAGACTCGGGCTGGGAATAAATTTGCAGAGCCCTTGTGTGTGGCCACGTGGCCACAACCACCCCCTTCTTCATCCCCCAGGTACTTCCCAGCCCCATCATCAGCTCCAACGGGCCAGGAGAGGACAAACTCTTCCGGAGCCAAAGTGCTGACGTGGAGATCACGACGGAGAAGGAGCGGCTGAAGAAGATGCTCTCGGAAGGGTGAGGCTGCCACGGGAGCTCCCTGCTCCTGACCCCTGAGCTGCCCATTCCGGCAGGATTTGGTGCATTTCTCTGTCACCCCGAGCACTTGTGACCCCAGACTCCTGCTGAGCAGTGCCCCGTGCCCGCTGATCCAGCGCTCCTTCCCGGCAGGAAGTTATTCCAGCTTGGAACAATGTGCTGCTCAGGCAGCGTGGGAAGGAGGAGGCTCCGTGCCTGCAGCAGTGGGGATGACTTGGTGCCAGTTATCTACAGATCAGTAGTTTGTGATACCAGAAGATGTTCACACTTCTCCAGCTGGCCCAGGGCTACATTTGTGTTAACTCCCCTGATGATTCCAGCAAAGTCCCTGCTGCTTCCTCTCTTTGTCTGTTCAAAAGGCTTTGGGCTGGATTCTGCCCTGTGGCTCCTGTCAAGCTCCCAGCTGAACGCTTAAGAGTATTTTTAAATCAAAAGCAAGTCTCCTTTGCTGCCTTCTCCTCGAGTCTGGGCTGGTAGGGCTTTATTCAAAGCAAAAACTCAGATCCAATAAGGATTTTTAAAGTGGATTCACAATCTCACACTGCAAAGCCCCTTTTGTGGCACCTGCATCTCCCCCACCCCGTTAATCTCACAGTGTGGTCTCTGCAGTTTCAAAGTCAAATATCACCCAGGGACAAAGGGAAGAGAGGCGGGTTCAGGGCTGGAAGGAGAGATTAAATTTGGTTAGTGATGTGAGGGCTGAGTGGGAACCTGTGGAGCCTCTGAGCACTTCCAGGAGCATCGTTTGGGCACGGGAGGGGTGTAAAGGAGCCTCCCCTGCCGTCCTGGGCTCACCCCCTGCCCTCTCCCACAGCTCTGTGAGCGAGGTGCAGTGGGAGGCCGAGTTCTTCAGCCTCCAGGACAACAACAACAAGCTGGTGGCTGCTCTGCACGAGGCCAATGCCAACGTGGACCAGTGGAAGAAGCAGCTCACGGCGTATCAGGAGGAGACGGAGACACTGCGGCAGCGGGTGAGCCTGGGGAGCCCCATCCCATCCCGCCCCATCCCATCCCGCCCCATCCCACCCCATCCCACCCCACCCCACCCCATCCCACCCCATCCCATCCCACCCCACCCCAGGACCCCTGGCCCCACACTCCCATGTGGGCTGGAAATCCAGGATGCTACACGAGCCTGGCAGGGGGAAATGTGCTGAGGAATAAGGTTGGGGAGCTCTGGGAGAGCTCTGGGTGAGCTCTGGAGGAGCTCCCCTGCTCTACACAGGGACTCTGCACAGAGTCCCTGGGAGTGAAGGGAGGAAACCAGAGCACAAAGTCACAGAATTTCAGCCTCCCTTTGTGTTTTCTGGAAGTAGTTCCCAGCTCCCAGCCAGACCAAGGCCTGTGCCCTCCTCCCACACCCAGCCAGGCATCAGGGCAGGATGGAAATCCAGGATGCTGCACAAGCCTGGCAGGGGAAATGTGTCAAGGAATAAGGGTGGGGAGCTCTGGATGAGCTCTGGACGAGCTCCCCTGCTCTGCACAGGGGGTGAAGGGAGGAAACCAGAGCACAAAGTCACAGAATTTCATCCTCCCTTCATGTTTTCTGGAAGTAGTTCCCAGCTCCCAGCCAGACCAAGGGCTGTGCCCCCCCTTCCCTCCCACCAAGCCAGGCATCAGGGCAAGCTCTGGCTGTTGACAGGAAGGCTGAGGGTTGCTCTGGCTGCTATAATTAGCTCCAATCCGAGCTGCAACATCATGAAACCCGGGTGGTGCAGCACAAACAGAGCCTTGTTCCCTTGGAATAACGGGATCCTTTGACCTCCAGGATGTCAGAGAGGTCACGGGCCAGCTGAGGAGGCAGAGGGGTGACAGTCACACGGTGGGTGGGGGGGGGGGGGTGGGGGGGGGGAGGGGCCAGGGGGGGGGGGGGGGGGGGGGTTGCTGGGAGGGAGGAACCACGGAGCACTTGGAAAAGGCTCTTAGGACAGCTGGGAAAGGGCTCTGGAGTCCTGGAGGAGGCGTGGAGTCATTTCTCTTGGAGATGGCTCCTTTGAAAGGCAGCAGGGATTTACAGCAATTAGCAGCTGTAAATTGATGGCTGTGGTGTGGCCAGCATGTGCAGGCAACAGCCATCCCCCAGGATCTGCTGTGCCTGGAGCTCATCCCCGGGGCTGGAGCCGGGCAGGAAAAGAGCTGCACGGAACAGATTTGTCTCCCCTGCAGCAGGAGCCTGCCCTGGGTGTAGCAGAGGCCTCGTGTGGGTGTCTGTGTGTGTGGGGATTGTGACTGGGTTGGCTCTTCCCTGCTCTGTGCACGCTGTTCTGTGGCTGTTCCCACAGCTGGGAACCAGGAGGGAGGATTTTGGGAGCTTTGGGTGAGGGGCAGCAGCCTCTCAGTGAGACACCTAAATCATTGTCCTTAAATTGGAGCATTTTGGGACCAGAGCTCACTGCTGACCCAATCCTGCTGCCCCTGCTCCTGGGAACACCAGGATCCAAACCCTGTCTGTGTGAGGGTCCCCATTACTGGAGGGGGATGTTTGCAGAGCCCCAGCAAGAGCTGCTGCAGCCCTTCCTGCCTCCTGAACAATCCAAGCCACCCAGCTGAATTTTTCGGGGCTGGGGAACATCCCTGGGCAAACCCTCCTGGCCCTGCTGGGGCTGAGCTGCAGTGACTCCCTTGGAAATCTGTGCCCAGGGGTGTAAAATGGAGCCATCCCCTCGTGTGTTTTACTGGAAGCACAGCAGGACAAAGCAGAGACAGAGCCCCTGAACTTTTTTGCCATGAAAAGTGCCCAGAAAACTTTTTTCCGTGCCTGATCCAGGCAGGGCAGGGGGAAGGTTTTCCCAACAGCCCCAGGTGGGAGCTGCTGCCCTGCTGTCCTGCTGTCACCCCGGGTGGGCTGGCAGGGAGGCCAAACCCTGGCTGTGGGCTCTGGGGGAGCCAAAACATTCCTGAGGGAGCCTTCCCTGCCTGGCAGGTGGCAGAGCTGGAGTCACAGGGGACTCACGACTCCTCCAGCGACAACAACAAGGAGGAGCTGAGCCAAACCCTGGAGGAGCTGGAGCTGCTCATCAAGGCTAAGGATGAGGTGAGGCTGTGACACCCCAAGCCCGGGGCTGAGGGGGTCTGTCAGTCTGTCAGTCACTGCTGGTTTGGGGTCAGAGGCCCCTCGGGCTGATTCCCTCTCCAAGGAGGCAAAGCTGAGGGAGAGGAAAGCGCTGGGAGCTTCCCAGTGTGTCCATAGCCCGGAGTGGGAGGCTCAGAGCTCTCTTACCCCTTCCCCTCTCAGCCCTCTGCAGTGGCAATTAGCCTCTGGTGTAGTAATTGTCTCCAACTCTCGCTGCATTTAAATGAATGAGTGATTTAAAGCCGGGTTTTAACTCCAGAGGCTGAGGAGGAGAGGTGTGAGGAGGATCCCTGTGATTCACACCCCGTGGGCTGTCTGCTGGCCTTACTTCAGCAGGGAGGAGGGGATGGAGCCCTGGGATTGAGGGGAGGTGGTTTGGGCTCCCTGATCCTCGCTCAGAACACTTTTGTCCCTCCTTCCCAGGCCTGCTCGGGATGGAGGAAAAATGCTGGGGCAAAGGTGTGCATGGGATTTTTCACCCAACAGCTCATCCCTGTCCCCAGGAGCCTGGGATGTGCCCTGGGATGTGGGAGCAGGGGTGCAGGGAGCACTGAGCTTTGCTGGCACTCAGATTTAGGGACCGAGGGCTCCGAGGGAGGCAGCAGGGGATGGGAATTTGGAGCTGCCTGGGGTTATGGGATCTTTGGAACCAGGGCTGGGGGTGAGGTGGGAACTGCTTCCACTGGGAGAGGGGTGGATCTGACGTGTTGCTCCCCCTCCTCGTGTTGCAGGAGATCCAGATGCTGAAGAGCCAGAAGTGTGGCCGCTGGGAAGCAGAGGGGGAGAGGGAGGAGACGCTGCAGAAGCTGCAGGTGAAGGTGGCAGATCTGGGGCACCCCTGCTCTCACAGCACAGGGATCCATCCCCGCTGCTGCCACAGAGCTGCCGTGCCTCTGGATGCTGGGAACAGCTCCCTGCCCCTGTCCCTGCCTCCTTCCACCCTCGGGGATGTGACACGGGGCACAGTGAGCTGGCAACAGCAATCCCAGCCTTCACACACCAGCACTTCCAGCAGCCCCTGACACGGGGGCTGGGGCAGAACTGTGATGTCCTGTCCCCCCTCCATGCCCTGAAGCCCTTCAGGGCTGCTGGGACAGGGAGCAGAGCTCTGGCCCAGCCTGGCTGGCAGGAGGGAGCCAAGCTGCTCCTCAGCCCCGGGCACGGGCACAGATGGAGCAGGATCTGGGGCACTGCCTGTGTTTATCTCTGAGGTCCAGAGCCCCTGCACGGGCTCTGTCTCATGGCAAAACTGTCTCCAGACATCCCCATCAGGCCTGGGGATGATCCAGGTGAGCTGCAGCTCCAGACCTTTGCACCTTGGAGCCACCTAAAAGAGCAACCTAAAGTGCTGAACTCGCAGCGTTTTAGGAAAGTAAATACAGCTGAGCAGTGGTGGGTTAATTAAAACCTGAGACACTGAGTTCACTGCAGAAATGTCTCACACCACTGTAGAAAAGCTCCTGTTCAGCAGCAGCTCCTGCATTTTTCTGGAGAGCAGGATAAACTCAGAGAAAAATGCACGAGGTGAGGGCTGAACCCTCAGGACAGCGAGCGAGTCTCCAGGCACGTCCATTGTGGGTTCTGAAAGGGGGATGGAGAAGGAAAAATTCTGGGCTCATAAAACCCAGAAAAAAATTACTTTCCCAATTCCTGTGAGGTTTCAGGACATTTGAAGCTGGGCAGGTGCCTGGCTGCTCCCAAATGTGCTCCCTGGGATGCTGCAAACCAGGAGAGGGAGACAGGGGGTGGGATATTGAGGAAGGATATTGAGGGGCTGGAGCAGGTCCAGAGGAGAGCAACAAGGCTGGGGAAGGGACTGGAGCACAAGTGCTGTGAGGAGAGGCTGAGGGAGCTGGGGCTGTTCAGCCTGGAGAAGAGGAGGCTCAGGGGAGACCTCCTCACTCTCTGCAACTCCCTGACAGGAGGGGGGAGCCAGGGGGGGGTTGGTCTCTTTTCCCAGGCAACCATCAGCAAGACAAGAGGGCTCGGTCTGAAGCTGTGCCAGGGGAGGTTTAGGTTGGATATTGGGAAGAATTTCTTTGCAGAGAGGGTGCTCAGCCATTGGAATGGGCTGCCCAGGGAAGTGGGGGATTCTCCATCCCTGGAGGTTTTTGAGATGAGACTGGATGTGGCATCAGTGCCATGGGCTGGGAACCACAGCGGGGTTGGATCAAGGGTTGGACTGGATGATCTCGGAGGTCCCTCCCAACCCAGCTGATTCTGTGATTCTGTGATTCTATGATTCTGTGATTCTGTGATTCTATGATTCTATGATTGGGGTTAGGGCTGTTTTGGGGAGACAGGGGGGTGTGGGCAGGGTGGAGCAGCCCCCTCCCCATGCCCACCCCTCCCCGTGTGCCCCTGGCAGGAGCTGGAGGCCCGGAACGCCGAGCTGGAGCAGCGGCTGCACTTGGCAGAGCAGAGCCTGGCTGAGACCCTGGCGGAGAGGGAGAAGATGCAGAGTGAGGTGACCAAGGTGGCCGAGATCATGGACGTGAAGATCTTCGAGCTCAGCGAGATCCGGCAGGGACTGGCCAAGCTGGTGGAGAGCAACTGAGGGAGGGGAGCCCTGCCCTGGCAGAGGGGGCACCCCGGGCTGGCACTGCTCCCCCCCAGAGCAATCACAGCCACCCCACAGCCTCGAGGCCTCCTTGGGCAGGATTTGCCACCGTACCAGCAGCTGCCTGGGCAGCGTGGGGACCGGCCAGCCCGCCCAGTGCCCACCCAGTGCCCACCCAGTGCCCACCCAGTGCCCACCCAGCACCCGGGCACGGAGGAGCTGAGCTCCCCGGGGAGCACCCAAAGTCTCAACCAGACCTTCTCTGGACCCTGCCCTGGCTGTGGCACGGCCCAGAGGTGGCAGCTGTGCCCTCCTGCTGCCCTCCCTCACTGTGTCCCCGGGGTTTTTACACTTTTCTAAGGGGGAAGGGGCTGAGCAACCTTTGTGGTTTGGTTTTGGGTTTGTTTTTTTTTTTTTCCAGTAGTTTTTTAGGAAACCACTTGCCTTTTGCAAGTAAGCTGCCTGTTTCCCCACCTAGGGAGGGAGGAGAGGTTCAAGCACACCCGGGACGAGTCTCTCCTTTTCTTCTTCTTCTCCTTCCCCAACCCAAAGTCCTTCCAACAGGATCCAGTAGCTCTGCTCACTGTCAGGAGCATCCCGAGGTATCCAAGCCCCCCCTGCAGAGAAGGGGCCTTTTTCCTGACCCTGTGTCCTTCCCACTGTTCACTCATCCTCCAGAGGAGAAAGAACTGCGGGTTTTAAAGCCTTTATTAGCTTAACACAGTGGGATTTAACGACTTGTTAAAACTTTCAGCTGAGCAGAGCAGAGGCTTCAACGGGACATCCCTCGGGGCACGGCCACCAAGCTGCTGGATTGGCACCTCCCCGGGCCTCTGAGGGCTGCAGTTAATTGAAATTAAATGGAGCAAGCCACAGTTGCTCTTGGTTTCTATTTTTTTTTTTTTTTGTTGCCTTTTATATCGGGAAACAGCCCCCAGAGCCGTTCCTGTTCTCCTTGGGAAGGGGACGGGTCCCGGCTTGCCCTGGTTTAAGGAGAGCAGGAGTTTAAGGAGAGCAGGAGGCGTTTGGAGGAGCTGGGACTGTGCCCTGGGGGGCCCGTGGGAGGCCTGGGAGTTCTCCTGGATGTTGTCTGGTGGCAGGAATTGAGCAATGCCCTCGGGATCCCAGGGAAAGCTGGACTGTGTGTCCCCTGGCAGGCTGTGAGTCCTGAGCAGAGTCCGTGTGGCTCTGCTTGGGACCTTCCAGGGGTGTGGATGGGTTTGGGTGGTTTTTGGTTTGGTTTTTTTTTTTTTGGCTTTTTGGCCACTGTAAATCAGGCAGAGAGCAGCAATCCTGGGAATGTTCTACCTCTGCTCCCCCTCACCCACTGACCACGGAGGAACCTGCAGCTTCCACACTCTGCCTGCAAGTCAGGGCAGGACTCGGGGCTGGAACCTCGGGAATCTGCTGGAGTGGAGGCCTCCTGGTGACTCTGTGCTGGGTTGTGGCCAGGCAAAGCCCTTCCCTTTCCCAGGGGGGGTGAGGAAACCTGGAGGTTTCCAGACCTGCTTAGTCAGGGAAGATTTTCTGTTCTGGATTGGGATTTTTTTTGACTTTTTTTTTTTTTTTTGGGGGGGGGGGGGGGGCAGGGTTTAGTTTTTATTTTATTTTAATTTTTGCTGCATGAAGTGTTCTCACAACTACCTGGGGCTGGAGCTGCTGTAGTGACATTTGTATTTAAGGGTATTTAAGGAGGGAAGGAAGTAACTGGATGGCAAAACTTTTTCAGGGTTTGCTTCCCACCCCGTGCCAGTGTTGATATTTTATTCCTACAGGAGCAGCCTTCTTTTGAAATAGAGATCAGCTCCAAGCAAGGCGTGTTTGGTTTGGTTTTCACTGACTTGGGAAGAGGAGGGTGAGATTTGGGATATGAGAGAAAGGAAGCTGGGAAAAAGCTCCTCATGTTCCCTGCTCTGACCCTCTCACTGGTCTCTTCTCTGTGACCCACGAGGTGGAGCTGGGAATGGATCCCTGAATTCTGGCAGCACCATTTCCTGACCTTGGTGGGGGTGACCAGACCTGGGTGTGCCACCCCTGGGTGAGTCACCTCTCCCCAGGCAGGGAGAGGGACCTGAGTCAGGCTCAGCAGGACTCCGGGAGTGGGGGAAGAGGCAGAGGAGCTCCCACAGCTCCACGGGGTGAAATTCTGGCTGCCACCATTCCCAGCACCTGCTCTGACCCAGCTCAGGCAGCAGCACAGCACAAAACCCAACTTCTGTGCTGTTTAAGCCTCTTCTTGCCCCTTATGCTGCCTTTTTTTACCCCCAAAACACAACCTGGCAACACTGGAGAGCTCCACCTCAACCTACAGCAAAGAACTGACCCACTGACTGTCTGGGGGGAGAGTGAGAAGGTCCAAAAGTCATGCAAGGAGGTATAGAAGTCACACAAGGAGGTGTAAAAGTCATACAAGGAGGTCCAAAAGTCGTGCAAGCAGGGCTACAAGTCATGCAGTGAGTCTCAAGATAAAGAACCTGCGACCAATCTGAGCTCCAAGTGTGGCTCAGGGGATGTGGGACCAGCAGAAGGGCCCTGCCCTGGTCACACAGGGACCCTGAGCGAGGACTCTGCCTCCTCCCAGGGCTCAGCAGTCCAGTCTGTGATCCCTGAGGAGGTTCCTGAACTGCAAATTCCAGCCCTTGGCTCTTGGGAAATCCCTCCTGCAGTGGGAACAAAGGACAACCCACCCACAGGAGCTCCCTGGGCAGCCCCTTCCCTACAAACAGGGGCCCTGGGATTTGCTGGGAGCTGTTCCCTGGTCCTGGGATTTGCTGGGAGCTGTTCCCTGGCCCTGGAATTTGCTGGGAGCTGTTCCCTGGCCCTGGAATTTGCTGGGAGCTGCTCCCTGGCCCCGGGATTTGCTGGGAGCTGCTCCCTGACCCCAGGATTTGCTGGGAGCTGTTCCCTGGCCCTGGGATTTGCTGGGAGCTATTCCCTGACCCCAGGATTTGCTGGGAGCTGTTCCCCAGGGGCTGTTCCTCCCGTGCCAGCCCGTGCTCCCCGAGCCAGCCCCATCCCTGGCTCTGCTCCTTTGCTGCTTCCCCATCAGGAACCAGGAGCAGAGACCACTCTCCCCGTGGCTCTCCACCCCCCCAGGGGCTGGTGCCATCCTTTTCCTTGCCAGAACAATCTGCAGAGTGGCTTTTTGATGAGCTCTGTCCCGGGCTCAGCGTTTGTTCCCAGCCCTTCCCGGAGGCATCGCAGGGCCCGGGTGATGGATGGGTCTGGGAGAGGCACTTTCCTCTGCAGTCTTCCCCTCTCCTGAGCTAATGAAACCCCATTTATCACCAGCTATTTCCACAAATGCCCTAAATCCGTGGTTTTCAACGAGACAGCTCCATCAGCACTAAAATTTCATCTGCCCCGCCCCGGGGAGCACTTCCAGAGGGTTCCCATCCTGCCTCAGAGCAGCAGCACTGGCACATCCCAGCTGTGCCCCCTCCAACCCTTCTTAGTTATGCTTTTCCTGCTTCAAAAAGGGGGAAAATCCCGTGTTCCAAAAGCCAGGGCTGGCTGGCAGAGCTGCACTCCTGTGTTTGCTGCAGTCTCCCAACAATTCCCATCAGCAGCTCCATCCCAGAGGGCTCCTGGCTTTGGGAGGGTGGGAGATGCTCCTGATTGCAGGTACCTCCAGAGACCTCGCTGCTTTGGGCAAATTAAGGTGTTAATTATTCATAGGACACCTAGACAGGACATTAATAAAGGGGGGGAAAGGATTCACACACGAACAAATCAAACCCCCTGCAGCAGCCAAAGGGGATCCAGAGCCAAGCCAAGGTCCTGCTGACCAGCTTGGACATGCCAGTCTCAGAAAAAGGATGTGTCTGATGCAAAAGCCAGCTGGGAGATGCCAAGACAGCCCTTTCCAGGCAAGCAGGAGTGCAGATCCAGTCCTGGCAGACTCCCACCAGCTCCCTCCCCTGGCCGGCTTGGATTCCTCCTCCTGCTCCCCAAAGTGCACGATTACCCTCCCTGGACCCCCTGCTGGACTTTAATTACAGCCCCTACCAGGTGCCTGGAGAGGCAGGAGGGGAAGGGTTCAGCACAGGTCGCACTGGGGAGTCTCTGAGTCCCCTGAGTGATTTTAAACAAGAGGCAAAAAAGTCTGGTTTTTTTTCCCCAAAAAGCCGCCGTGGAGCCCCTGGTGATGCGTGCTGTGCTGTTGGACCCTCTCACATCAAAGTCACTTAACAGACTGGCTTGGAGGTCTGGATTTTTATGAGGACACACTGAAACAAGCCCCTGATGGAGGCGAAGCAACGAGGCCCTTTTGTTTCCAACCTCCGAAGGACGGGACTTGGGGGAATTGGTAATTAAATAATGCCATTAATGAAAAGTAGGTGACCTCAGCCTTCTGAGCTCCTGCATCTGGGCTGCAGAGATCAGCTGCTCCCTTCCTCAGAGGAGAGGGTTATTTTTAGTGCAGAAATGGGCTGTTTACACTTGACAGCACAGGGAGCACAGGCCGTGCGTGTGACCCCCCCCCACACACACATGCACACCCTGGGACACCATTTCCACGTGCTCCAGAGGAAGGCAAGTGGAATGTGTGTCTGGGAGAGCGTTCCTGAGCACAGAACAGCCCCCCAGAATGCCCTCTCCTGGAGTAATTTGTAATTATTATGGTTATTAGGTCGTGGTGTGTCCAGGCAGTTTCTGCTCTGAGGGAGAAGAACATCACCGTGTGCACACACAGCCCTGCATCCTCCCTCGGCTCCCAAAAACCAGCAGCTGGAATAATGCTGGAAGTGAGGCCCTTGTGGGAAGAGCAGGAACACTCCAGACTGGAGATGTGGCAGCTCCAGCAACGGAGGACCCAAAGGAGCCACACCTGGGTGTCAGTCAGGTCCCACCTGGAGCACCTTGGCATCACCTCCCAGGCTCTGCCAAGGAGTGGGAATCAAATTCAGTGTTCTTGGAGGCCACTGTCACTGCAGCTCTAGGAAGGTGCTAGGGGGGAAGGGGAAGGAGGCTGGCATCACCTCTGTCCCCCTGGTATCACCCCTGTCCCCATGGCATCACCTGTGTCCCCATGGCATCACCTCTGTCCCCTTGGCATCACCTGTGTCGCCATGGCATCACCTGTGTCCCTGTGGCATCACCTGTGTCCCTGTGGCATCACCTCTGTCCCCTTGGCATCACCTCTGTCCCCCTGATGCCCCAACTCCGGGATCTGGGAGGAGAGCCCTGGATGGAGCAGCAGGAATATGGAGCAGTGCAGGGTCAGGATCAATCCCGAAATGATCCAGGGGAATCCTGCCAGCAGCAGCCCCCGGCTGGGGCAGGGTTCGGGAGCAGCCCTGTCCCACTCGCTCCCTGCTTTCTGAAACCAGTTTCTGATATCCCTGTGCTGCATTTCCCTGGGAATGACGGCGGGATCCGGGAGCAAAGGCGTCCGGAGCTCCCCAGCTGCCACCTGCCGGCAAACCCGGTGGGGGAGACCCGGGAGGAGACCCGGGCAGGGGGGGAAAGGCCATTCCTGGGGGAGGGAAGAGCCGGTGGAGCAGCTTTTTTAGGGCGTTCAGAGGAGCTGAGTTTGCGTTTGCAAAGAGCAGCCGAAGCTGAAGTGGCGACTGGAGCGGGGCAGGGGGCACCGGGGGGGTTTTGGGCAGCATTAAGTGTGTCCAGCCCCCAGAAAGGGGAAGGGGGTGTCCCCAGTGCAGCCCCTGCAAGGGGACACCCGAGAGCAGCTGCAGCAGAGCTGGACACAAGCACTGCTGTTCCAGTAGAGAGAAACCCAATCCTGGCCCCAGAACTTGCCCAGACTGTTCCACTGCAGCTGCCTTTTATTCCCTGGGGAGATCCAGAGCTTTGCTGCCCCTTCCAGCACCTGGGAATAAAGGGGGTGTCAGCCCCTGGAGGGCACTGCAATGTCACCAGCCTGTCCCCACCTCCACGTCCCCTTGCTCAGCACAAGTTCCAGCAGGGAGGATTTGTCAAACACCGAGTTTCTCACCCAGGAGGATCCCCAGCCTCTCCCTTCTCCCTGCAAAACTTTCTGGGAAGCACTTGGAGGTGTTTGTTGCTCCACGAGAGGGGTAGAGATGGATTGGGGAGGAGGGGGGAAACTCCAGGAACAAATATTTCCTTAAATGCACCCAAACCAGCCAATTTTGGCAAGTGATCCATCAGTGTGGAGATGGAATTGCCTGGGAAGGTGGGAGGTGGAAGAGCAGGAGCCCCTTGGAACGTCTGAGGCAGGTGGTGGTTTCACACCCAGAGGAGA